ACACAGCCCTACCATAGAGATCCATTCATTTTTCTGGATGTGGCTAACTGCTCTTATAAATGCAATGTGGAACAAACATGATCACACAAACGCACGTGCACACACAGACACACACTCAAACCTGGTCTTTGCGTCTCTGTGGGACTCTGCAGCGCATGTGGGATTGTCAGTGGGAGTAAACGGTTCTTGCGCACACCTAACGAGCAGGTATGAAATGCTCTTCACGATGCATTTTTTGCACGCTCAACTTAGTTATTTTAAATCTAGACAAGCGCACTCAAACAGAGATTGAAAGCTCAGCCAAGATGGACGAACAGCTGATAATAGATGTACAGGTTTTTTTTTCTTTTTCTCATCTCCATAAATATATCTAGTAGTAGAGTTAATGCATGCACTGGAAATCCATTTATCCTTAGCAAAGTCCCTATAAGACAAGTCATTTCACTTTGCAGCCATCTTTGAAACGCCTCCTGGGCATGCAAGTGCAGCTCCTATCTCTTTGAATGGGGAAACATCGAATTCTCCAAAACTGTTCACCAAACTTACGATTAAATTTCATATTTGAAATCACCAATAAAATCTGACAACTGTCTCATAAATGTTGTTTCTTTTGCTCAAATAGCATTAAAAAAAGCTTACATATTTATTAGCGGCCATATTGAGCATTGCATTTTTCCATATTCAAAACTATACAAGTGACGAGTCTTGGGTATTCTATAGTCTTCGTCGTCTTCATGGAGAACGCGGCTCATGCTTATTCCATGCAGCCTGCTGTTGTTGAATACTGCATATTTCGCAAAATGCAGTAGGTCAGTGATTATACCGGGGTACCACTGCTCTGCACATTTTGTGTATCCCTTATTTGACGCACCAGACTCAGATCATCAGCTCATTAGGAGGGAGATCCATGAACTGAAACAAGGGCGTCAGATAAGGCCTGTGACACACTAGGCGATTTTCAAATCTTAACCGATTTCAAAACTGTGGGAGACCACAGACGTAATGACAGTTTCAACTGATTTTTAGCATTACAATCCTCTGAACGCACACACTAGATGATTCGACCAGACCGCAAGACCACACAATTGTTGATTGTAGGAACGATTTCACAGTGACACAAGATCTCATAGAGACTCGCAAGATCAAACACGACTTGAAAAGAAAAACAAATGGAGGACAATCGACATTGTCAGCTGGCTCACCTGGAGCGCGTTCTGTTTTACAGTGAAAAAGAAAGTAGAAAAAAAGAATATGGGTGATCTACTCCTCTTTCGTGGCATGTTTGTGGCTGCCAAGTTTCAGCTATAGAAGCAACATTCGCTAGGTGAGGCTTGCTCGCTCTCATTGGCTATCGCGGGTATCAGATCAGAGGCAGTCCAATCAAGAGTCTTAAATGTCAAACAAGTTTGATATTTACAATTTAAGTTCGGGGATGCTCCATCTCGATCGGGAGCAGTTAAATAATCGTAATGATAGTTCGGGGTAGGCCTGGGCGATAAAACGGTATCGATATTTATCGACGTACACCTTCTTCGATATCGATAGAAATTTTTTTAGATATAGCGCACGATATAGGCATGTGCTATGAGTGATGGCTATGAGTGACAGCACACACAAAAACGAACACATGCTGAAATGAGTGCTGCGCCTGCCTGTGACGAGGAGATTGTGAATAAAGAATGAATATGAGTTGAATTTAAAATAAACATTTGCATTTGAATGTTAGGAGTGCGTCAGGGAGCGTCATCAGTGGCGCGCGAGATGCGGTGATGATGATGTAAGTGACGTTGTTGCATTTTAATGTTTTGTTAGTCTAGCCCACGAGACGCGCCGCTGCTACATTATTCATTCAAAATATTAGAGAAATACAAAAGCTCAATGCGGAGAAGATCTTGAATGGGTTAAAACCGAAACCAAGCCATTCACACAGAACGCATATTCAGCGCATTTTTTAGACGGACAAATACGACTGCTGCACTCGCGTCTCACAGAAGAGATGTATAGAAAGCCTTTTAAAAACTTTTAGAAAACACGTCACTGCGTCTCATATGTTTTTAAATGCAGTCTGTGTGAATGGGCAATTCGGCTCTTTGGATTAAGCAATGCATAAATACATGATGCTGTTTTGTTCATAATTGTTTATGCAATATACAAAATTAGACGTAAAGTTAATTTAGACGTAATGCACGTTTTTATAGAGTTACTTCCTTGCATTGACAATTTAAATGTGCTGCATTTTTTTGCTCATTATGATATTATTTTTTAAATACCGCAATACCGGTGTATGTCACTTAAACAACATTCGGAACGCAACACTGTTTGAAAGGGGTCCCTTTTCACTGTTGCACTGTGGTGAGGGAACAGCTCTGCGAACGCGAGGTCTGACTTTCCCGGAGAAGTGTCACCTCTCTTGCCGTCTTTTCTGTGCAGTGAGCGGCAGAGAAACAGCGCTTTCAGTTGGCCGCACCGCAGCCGACTCGTCAATAAATGAGTACAAAACAGCGAATATTCACTCATCATGACAGTAAAATAGGGCATTCTAAGTCAATATACTGCAGTATTTCCTCTTTCAATCAGTAGAAAATATGGTTAACACCCGGTCATGCATGAAAAAAAAATACCGTCATGTACCGTGAAACCGGTATAATTTCGAAAAATACCGTGATATAAATTTTTGGTCATACCGCCCAGCACTAAAACATTATATCGTTGATTCATTTTTTAGCTATATCGCCCAGCCCTAGTGCAAATCGGGCTTAAAATCGACCTTAAAATCTTCAAGTGTGTAGCCAGTCTAAAGCCAGGCTCACACTACAGGAGTTTTAGGCTGATTTATCCCAGATTTCCCCCTCTCGAGAATCGGAGAAAAAAATCTTGTTGAGGACCTCGATCGGTTCCGATGTTGGGTGCAGATTATCTGGTAATGTGAGGTGTTTGCAGATCAAAACTTGCACCTCCCGATCTGCTAGCACACAAATCTGGGCCTCCCCGATCATATCAAACATATGAAATATCATATATGTTTGATATTTAGGTTTTAAATCAGGATGATCACAGCTATGACTATCCGTTGAATAGTGGAGATGGAGGAAACTGCTTGTGGAAGTTTTGCAATAACACAACTGTCTGTATGTGTCGACAACGTACCACAACCATAAGGACAAAGAGAAGCACTGGGGTGAAATCGCTAGCACGCTAGTTAAAGGGTTAGTTCACCCAAAAATGAAAATTCTGTCATTAATTACTCACCCTCATGTCGTTCCAAACACTTCATTCACCTTCGTAACACAAATTAAGATATTTTTGGTGAAATCCGAGAGCTTTCTATCTACCGCCATTATCAAAAGTAACACGACGCATGCACGTGATGCTGCTGACGTAGAACACGCGTGCGCTGCGCATTGTTTACCAGGAGAGGAAACCACGGGCATGTGTTGTGGTGCTCCCGATAATGGCGGTAGATGGTAACTCGGGGGAGAAGAATTGTTGAATAAAGTCGTTATTTTTGTTTTTTTGCACACAAAAAGTATTATCATAGCTTCATAAAATTACAGTTGAACCACTGATGTCACATGGGCTATTTTGTTGATGTTCTTGGTACCTTTTGGGGCCTTGAACGTGGTAGTTACCTTGCTGTCAATGTAGGGTCAGAAAGCTCTCGGATTTCATCAAAAATAGCTTAATTTGTGTTCTGAAGATGAACGAAGGTCTTATGGGTTTGGAACGACTTGAGGGTGAGTAATTAATGACAGAATTTAAATTTTTGGGTGAACTATCCCTTTAAGAGAGACATACAAAATGTGCAGAACAGTGGTACCCCAGGACTGGAATTCATCACTGTATAACAGTATACATAATGCATTCAACAGAAATAGCATGCACAGTATAGTAGCAAAACAAAGTGTTTCATGAAGAGTTAATGAAGTCGGGGAAGTCGTGGCCTAATGGTTAGAGAGTCGGACTCATAACCCAAAGGTTGTGGGTTTGAGTCTCGTACCGGCAGGGATTGTAGGTGGGGGTGGTGAATGTACAGCGCTCTCTCCCACCTTCAATACCACGACTGAGGTGCCCTTGAGCAAGGCACTGAACCCCCAACTTCTCCCCGGGCGCCGCAGCATAAATGGCTGCCCACTGCTCCGGGTGTGTGTTCACGGTGTGTGTGTGCACTTTGGATGGGTAAATGCAGAGCACTAATTCCGAGTATGGGTCACCATACTTGGCCACATGTCGTCACTAATAACTACAGATATAATAAATGATAGTTGGCCTTCCCATGCATGCACAAACAATTGCAACAATTTTATTATAGTAGCTACAATCACACAATGTAGCCAGATTACAATGCAAATGTTGCAATCTTTGCCTAATATAATAATTTTCTGTTAAATAATGATTACATTTCTTCAAAAATGTGTTGAAATGATGGAGTTTCTGCAAGTGGGTCAAACCGTTGGGCTCTGCCCGTGAGCCAATCAAATAACACCGGCTAACTCACATTTAAGAGCAAAAACGGTCGGCTGTCATAAAAGTTTATTGTAACGTCTGACTGAAGTTTGCAAACGGGTACACGACGCATGCACATATGCATGACCGTTTACGTGAACCATAACTTCAGCAGCAAAAGCAACAACAACACTGCACTGAGCTTTACATGAAGGATGTTGTTTTAATGACATTACAGATAACATTCATAAGAATGTCAACAAGGGATCTTTTTGCTTCGGGGTAAATGTAGGCTAAGGTGATGTTTATAAATGCCTCCACGACTCTTTTTGCCGAAAGACGCTAAAAGTGCCAGAAACCACATCCGCTTGAAAACACATGTGGAACATTAATCAAGCGCTATGACATTTCATGTAACCGTTAGTTTAGAAACACAGCAGCTATCGAAGCGATACCGAGTTGCACTTGGCTCTCGATGTTTAACACGGATACATTTTACAGCAAAGCAATGCCGTTTTACTTCACACAGACGTAAAACACCGGAAATAATGACTCACCTCGAAGCTGCAGCACAGTATATGTGTATGTCCTTTATTAGATATCCCTGTAATACCAGCGTTTGCTCCTGTGCTCGGACAGACGTGGCCTGAAATGACCCAGCAGAGCAGAGCAACTCCAACATGGACCCGGAGACTCAGAGAAACATGCAGCTCTCTCCTCTGATCGCTGTGGGGAATCTGAGAGCACTTGACGTCTGGCCAAAGATGTTTTAACCCTTTACAGTGGCCCAAAAACTATAAAAGCACACTTAAAATGAAGAAATACCATTGTATTAGATATAATAGGGTAAATCTCACGAAAACGAAACATGTCTGGTCATATTTTACCCAAAGGAAAGAAATAAGAAATGATATTCTGCACCAAGAAAATATTTTTTGTGCACTGTGACTTTTATTTTATGGCCACAGTGGCCTCAATCCTCATTACACTAATGTGAAAAAATGATGTATTATTATTTATGCTGATTTAAATAAAGTAATATTAATTTTCCTTTATTATAAGAATAATGAGATGATTATAATTAAATGTGTTTAAGGTCATATCTGGACAGGTGTGTAATAGGGTGGTGTGGTCTAGTTCAAAGCCCATGAGCTGACTGATGATGAGCTACTATTGATCCATGATCTATTAGCAAGATAAAGATCGTGAAACAGAAACACTAAACCTAAACTGAACTTTTTTACAGTTCTCACTATAATTTACTTTGCTATCTGGATAATGTTTAGTACATTCAGCTGGTCCTTAACTCAGAATAAACTCCTTTAGGATGACTGGTGACCCGATCAACCTGTCAGGGTTTATTCTGTAATAACGGCCGTCTGACTGTACATTATCCCTTGAAAACAGTACAGCAGCCACTTTATACTGCCCAGTGGCTATAGCCATATTCACAATGAAATGGTACTCAATCAGTTCTGTGCATTAGTATATGTAATGTATAAATTAATTCAAATAATGCATTAATGTAAGCAAATTAGTGACAGATTTTCTTGCTACCATTGAAGCAATAGATGCTCTTTGGGTTGTTCTCAAAACCAACAAGTTTTGTTCATGTCAGCTCAAACTTTCATTATGATAAAAAAATAAGTCATTCATGTCTATTGTTCAACTTTTTACTCAAATTGTTATGATTAAGAATAAATAAATAAAATTTGCAGTAGAAAAATGCATTAAAGTAGACAATTTTGACTTTTGGGCCTAATTGTTATCTGTTTTGTTTTGTCTGTGTTTAAAGCTTACTGTATCCACTGTTGGTGTATATTTTATTTGTTTTATTTTTTATGCATATTTTGCATTTCAATTGGTGTATTGTTTTGCATTCTGTATTCATACCGATGTGTATTGTGTACACTGGTATTCCTACTAATGTCGTTCATCTGTAAATATACAGTATATGGAGTGTGTTTTTATTCGTGATTATCTGCCACAGAAGAACGCATTATGACAGCATTCCACATTCACATAGAAGACCAAAAGAAGAGATTAAATAAAACAGTTTCTAAAGTTTATAAACTCCATCGTCACATGATATCGCAACAAAAATCTAACTTGGCACTTTACACGAAAATAGTACATTCTGATGTCCTCTGAGAATCACAAATCCTGTGTTTTTGTTGTTGTTTTTTTTAAATAAAATATTATGTAACATAAAGTTAGCATAACATACAGTAGTTATGCTACAAAACAAATTAGCTATGGTTTTAAACTGAAAATTTCTGCATTATATGCACTTAAAATTGTGATTTTGGTCTCCAACAATTAAAAATGCCATAATTTTGAGATAATCTATTGAATTGATATTCATTTTGTAGAAATAAAAATACTAACTTATTTTAATTACAAGAAACTATGCAGTGTTTGACATTTTGGACTAATGCACTATTACAAGAAATTGCTATTGCTTCAAATAATATAAATAATAAAAATTGAGCAATAGCTACAAACCTAAATTTGGTTGCAAATTAGCTAGCCCCTACTGAGTGACAGATGGAAGTTAAATTTGCCCTGAAACTACTCATTCTAGCAGATTTGAAATAAATGCCACTCCACACCTTTTGCATACACATTTCTCAGCAGATCACTTTTATTTTGCATGAATGCTACAAGACTGAAAAACCTTATTTCTACAGTTCAAGCAGATCCCTTGGCAGGACCTTTGTTTGGCATGTCTTCACTTTGATATGTTTGATTTGGTGGAGCTCCAGGTATGCCACAGTGTGTTAACAGCTGAATTAATATGTGCAATAACAAAGACAGGGGATACTACACATACTTTGTTAAGAAAACAACAAATTTTGTTTCAAAGGGCATTACAACATGATAGAAGATGTACACTTCCAGACAATTAAACTTGTTTCTCATGATTTTAAAAAAATTTAGATTTTGCTTCTGCTTAATTGGTTAAAAGTAATTGTGTAGACAAACTACACAATTTTACCAACATATAAATTTCTATACAAAACTAACATTTACTTTTAAAAATGTCATAACAACAACAGCAACAACACGAAACATAGTTTTTTAAAAAAGTATCCTACTATTATGAAGTTGGGAAGTTACGAAGTTGGTTAAGAGCATCTGGAGTGAGAAGCGCTGGAATCAGGTGATTGCCATGGTCCCCGTTTCATAGTCTTGAAGACTTTAATATGATTCTAATATGTGTGAAACATCACTAATACAGAATCAACATTTCTGTCCAAACCTTTATGCCATATTATTTTCTGATAATCAGGAAAATATATAGTTTTTATATTATATGGCTTCATTTTTACAACAAGTTTGAGTTTTGTGGTCAATTTGACTATGGGTGCCTTTGTCAATATTGCTGTATAAAGGGACCCGCTCACATGAAAAGCAGGGGACCATTAGCAGATTACTGGGTTCATAGCAGAGAAAAACTTTAGCTGTGAGCTCAGCTCAAGGAAATTGTGCAAGAAAATTGTGTAGAGCATGCATTGTCTTTTTTAAATTTTTGCATAATTAATCAGATTTGGTTAGATTAAAAATATATTTTCCTTACCTCTGCTGTGTGAAACAAGCTAATGCAGATTATGCATGTGCACAGAATGTACCCTAATTAACCTCAACCTCGCACAACCTCTACTGGTAAAATAAATAAATAGATTGATATTATATATTATAAAATATGTATATTTTTAGGCCAAAACCTGGAAACAAATTAGCATTTTAGCACTTCCAATTCCACCATCCCAAAGTCAATCGGTTTGTTTTAATGGTAATGTTTTAGTTAAAGGGTTAGTTCACCCAAAAATGAAAATTAGGCTGCGTTTTACTCACCCCCGAGGCATCCTAGGTGTATATGACTTTCTTCTTTCAGACGAATCCAGTCGGAGTTATATTAAAAATAGTCTTTGATCTTTCAAGCTCTATCATTGCAGTCAGCGGGTGTTGCATTTCAGTCCAAAAGAAGTTAAATAAAAAGCGCCCATCCATAAAAAAAGTATCTCACATGGCTCCGGGGGGTGAACAAAGGCCTCCTGTACGAATCGATGCATTTTTGTAAAAAAAAAAATCCATATTCAAAACGTAATAATCACTTTAATCTAGCTTGTGCTCACCGTTGTAAACGGAAGCAGTTCCGGGGGAATGACGTATGAGGTCAGCGTTGCACATGCGCCGCTCAGAAGTGACGAACGCGGAAGCGCAGGGGAGAGATCAAAACAAAACAACGCTCACGAATTAGAAGTACAAAACCAGGATTTGTAAAGAAGAATGTCAGAGGATTTCGATATAAGCTAAGAGGAGACTGGTTTTCCTTTGCTAAAGTAAGGAAACTTTGCTTCCTTTGCTCCTGTGAAGCAATGCAACACCCGCTGACTGCAATGATAGAGCTTGAAAGATCAAAGACAATTTTTAATATAACTCCGACTGGATTCGTCTGAAAGAAGAAAGTCATATACACCTAGGATGCCTCGGGGGTGAGTAAAACGCAGCTTAATTTCATTTTTGGGTGAACTAACCCTTTAAATACCTGAAATAAGGTCTGTGGTGAACACAAGCTCAATATATTTGCATGTTTTATCCCACGGCATAAAATGCATCAGTAATATTTCCTTGTGATTTTTAAAAAAAGTTTTTACTTGAAAAAAAGAGACTGCTAACAAGGGCTAAATGGGACTACAGAGGTTGTCAAGGACATTAAATGTGGGTAACCAAATGTGGGTTTCTGGTCCCACTTTTTTTTTTTTTTTTTGGGAAGTCAATGGGAACCAGCAACTGTTTGGTTACACACATGCTTCAAAATATCTCAGCCTATTCTCAGCCTAGTTGTGTTTTAAATCACACATTTGCAAAATAATTTAAGACTGAAATATTACTTCTGGCAGACTTCAAAATTGTGTTCATTTATGAAGATTATCATGATAAAATGTGCAAGAATCATAAACTTTTGCTGGTCGCAGTGCTTATTTTCTGCAATAATTCAAAAGATCATGGAAAAATCCTGTTGTGTTTTTTTTGTTTGTTTTTTTGAGAGGAAAAGGGTAATGCTAACTTCCGGGACAGCCTTTAAAAAAGTGTCATTACTACAGCACACTTCACTTTTAACTATAGCACCTACTGCAAAGTATCAATTGTCATGACATAATGAAAATGAGCTTTCACTAGGTATTATAAACCTTTTCTGTCCATTCCAGTCACTTCATCACAGCCCATGCTTAAAGATAATGGTGGTAAAGTGAGTACAATGAACTGAAGGACTTCAGTTTTCATGAAATGTGTACTGTGTGATGCCAGCAGACCTGCCAGAAACTGTGCAAATGAAAAGGATTGCAGCTCTCTTTATGCAGTGCTAACTGGCCATCAAAGGTTCATAGAGTCTAACAGCAGGGCGCTGGGTGTGTAGTTTCATCAGAGTCGACAGCGGTTTAACTACATTTCAGCATTATGCAGTTGGTCATTTCTGTAGCCACACTCTGCTAGGGGAAAAGGTCATGACTCCAGCTTTTCTACAGTCTTTTCTAGTGCTGAAAAAATGCTATGTGAATATGCAATGAAAAAAATGGCTCTTTTGGGTTACATCAGCAAAAAACAGTAGACTTATTTATATGGAAAGATGTTAGGGGGTGGTCAGGGGGCTATGGAATTTTTATGTCCTCCCACACCTGACCTCCCAGAATAATACAAAATAACCAGACACAATA